ATAAAGAGCTGTACCATCTTGGCAGAGGCTGTACCACACACCTTCATACCGAAGCCCTTGGAATATTTTTTGGTTCGCGGCATCACTAGTTCACTGACTACGGATCCAGTCCCCAATGAAAATTCCGTAGGTCTTAACGCGAAGTTATAATACTTTGATAGCCCATCAATAGTCCATTTTCAAAGATTCATTTTCGCGCTTCGTTTCTACACATGGAGCTCGGTGCTCACGTATCACGTCGAGTGACATAGCTTCGTTGGTAGATTGTTGGTCTAGTTGTCAAATGGAAGTGCGTAGTTTAGAGACAATTGGAAAAGTTCTGCATGCCTGAAGTAGAGAACCCAAAGAGAAAGAAATGTACCTGCCTAGAGGTGGTTCAAGTGTACGGGATGAAATCACCGTTGTGCAACAATAGTGATAGATTAATTAGGAGAACAGCCAATAATAATCGATGAGGATATCGACTTCGAAGTTTGAATGAGCTCAGATAGCCATATGAAATCTTATTGACGGAAGTTTACTCTATTTGATTATCATTCTATAATCTATAGAACATGAGAAACTAACAAATAAGGTTTGAAAGCAGAGCAGAATTTCAGATGGCTTCTCAAGGTGATTTTCTAGCGGTCCCCATATATCTGGCACGCGCTGTACTCAAGCACGATAAAGTGGACATTCTAGGCGAAGATTATCTATGTAATTGGGAGTGTTTCACCGGGAGTGAAACACATAAAGACAGAAATACACAGACACATGTGTTCTAGTTATGTATCTATGTATATTTTCAATACAGTAGTGCCACATTTCGCGTTCGGGGGAACAATGAATAGACGCGGGCAGTCCCAACAAAATTCTAAATCCTCACAGCACTCTAAATAGAGAACTAGATATATCGACAGAGGTAAGAATTCTGTTTCTGACTTTAGGAATCAAAACGGCTAAATGAGAACCCCATCGAAGTAACCAGTGCTAAGAGTAAGCCTAAAAATAGTGCTATCAAGTTCTATCGGGATTCTTCTGCCGACAAAGGCCTAAGCGTCACCCAGAGTTCAAAAGACGTCCTTTATTCCGCCAGGGTCTCTTATCCCTAGTGTTTCTGATGAAACTTCAAGAAGAACAAACGGTGAAACACCAACGAGGGAAGTAAACCTACCAGTCCACCACCACAAGAGCAGAACAGCCCACTCCGAGTCAGTTATGATTAGTAACTGAGACTTTCTGTGCGATATTTGAACAAGAGTTATAGACCTGCTCGTATCAATGCTTACGTTAGTAGCTCACAATGCGGCGTAGAAATGGTTTATGGAGGATGAGCACCCATTGCGCTTATTTATTCTAGGATTCCGCCGCAGCGGAAATCTCGGTCTTATACGCTTAGATATTGCACTTTACATCGAAGTCGTTTCCGTGGGGCTCTTCAACAAATACTTGCCGAACGGTGTTGCTATATTGCCGCGTCTTCTCCCCGCAAGGTGTTCCTTAACGCAGTTATTAGGATTATGTTCAGAACGGCTACAGACGTGTGCACAGTTGCCACAGAGCGACAGGAATCCATACCACTGGCTCCCGGTATAGCTGCTTTGAACGGTTATAGCGCTATAGCGCTAGAGGTGTTCCGGCGCGGAGTCCAAAAATGAATTGCGCAGTGAGCGTCTATATTTCATGAATGATTTCTTGCCGTTTACGCCACTTTGAGGGCTACTAACGCAACATTGAGACGTGCAGGTCTATAATTGTTATAAATAAACCGCTTTGAAAGTCCCAGTTGCTATCCATAGCTGACTCAGGGTGGTGCTGTTCCGCTCTCGCGGTAGTGGACCGGATGAGTTTGTTTTCCTGGTTAGTGTTTCGCTGTTTGTTCCTCCTAATTCATCAGAGACGCTAGGGATAGGAAGCATTTGGCGGTTTGAAGGATATCTCTTGAACCGGAAAGGCGATCGCGTCGAAACTTCAGGTCACTAGTAAAGTTTCCCCCTAACAACCTCGTTGGTAGAAGAATCGCAATACAATCATGAATGGTATATTATAGAAATGCCGAGGTTCTGCGAAGAGAGAAGCTGAAAGTGCTATCAAAGGCAAAGTTCACGATGAAAATTTTTTCTGCGATGCCCCACCAAGACGAATCGTGACTACCCTATAAACGCATGTAACGCTGTAAGATCGGGAAACGGCCTAGATAGAGCGTTATAATGTTTCAAAAATTGTACCGCCTGTGTGCCATACCCAGGATGAATGTGGTTGACTGGCTTTGTACGTTTGTACAATTCACAAGAGCTATCATCTTGGAACATCAAACAACTAGTCCTACTCCATTGTGGCAACGAAATGCAGTTTTGAACGTTTTTGGCTAGATGTGGCCAGCTCTACATGTGATAGCGACAACATAAACATCCTCTGTCTTCCTCTTCCGTGCCATTTCCGTCATGATAATCTCGTAAGATCTCTACTTTCACTGATTTCGGTTACCCTTATTTGTCGCAAAGTCATAGTCGATTTTATCGCTTTTTTCCGCCCTTGGTGGACTATTCTCCACTTTCCCGTAGCCACACTGAAAAGAGCCAGCCGGCTTAAGACCGATCATGGTACATGAGAGCAGGCATAAATCATATCATAGAACGGTCGTATCGTCATCATATACCATAAAAAAATTTGTGTACGGAAACATTCTTTCTCAAATAGATGCGCGGAGCGTGAATGCTAGCTCAAGTAAGGCACGTACTCAGTTCATCATCAGAAAATGTTATAAAAAGCTCCATCAAGAAGAAAGCAAAGAGCACAGAAATTTTGACAACAGCGGGTAACAAACCCACAACCTTCGCCTGAACGGATAAAGCACTTAATCTGCAAGACGAGGAAACGTGTTGTCACTTCGGACAATTGCGTTTTGTTTGACACTATTTTCAAGCAGTCCTTGAGCACTTATGACTTTCTTGGGAGACTTGATTTTGACTTCTACATTTGTAATCAGCATTCTAGCCATGAGCTTCATCGATATACATACCTCGGCCTCTGTCAAAATTTCATGAGAAGTTGAGAATCATCACTGGTTGGGAAGGAATTGTGGAACCACAACCGTACCTATAAGAGGATCTTCACCAGAAGACGAAGCGGAGAAGAGAAATTCATGCGATTTAGGCTTATGCACTGAAAAAAATAAACTTTTTTTTATGTGATAGAAAAGACAGTCATCATCCCGGACGGACCATGGAATCTCGGCAATAATGATATATGTACATGAGAATTGATCTCCAACTCGCTTCAAATAATAAAAAGAAAACCATCCCCTGAGGTATTCTGAAGAAATGCTATGGCATGGGACAGTGGAACAAGAGTTGGGATGGTGTCCTTGCCATTAGGTTTACTATTGTCGGAAGAGGCAATACGAGCTGTTTTATATCTAGTGATGGTAGTGATGAAAATTGAATTTCCCTCTTAGAACCAGTATTCTGAACATGTACAATTACTGACAAACCTACTAACTGGTTCAGAATCACACAAAAAGCTTGGTAAGAGAAGATGTCTGGTAAGGGAAGGTATGTTACAGTGGAGATAACATAAATTGTCTGAGCGAATAGTATCTCTGACTCATTAACAAGAATCTGTAAGGGAGGAACAAAACTCTGTGATTCTCATGAACTGATTCATGTGGGAACGAACCAGTGGTGTCATTCTGTCATTCTTTAATTCCTGTCGCTTGCCTCCAGCGCGGCTTACTCTGTTCAACCTCCTGGGCTTCTATAAGTTCAATCAACTTTGGAAGTTCTCAGTGTTGCTTATCAATGGGCGATCTTCTGGGCACGCTCCATCAAAGCCGAGAAAGTCTGGATACGGCAGGACCGACTGTCTATTGCTGCACCACATTTTCTATGAATCACATATTCACAAAGCTTGAAGCAGAAGCATCGAGAATCATCTACGAGTGAAGATACTACAAACTTTCCACAATCCTAGGATTGTTGCAGACGCAAACGCTCATGCAAACCTGTGAGTGAACAGTACAAGATCCAATGACTGGTTTTTTAAGTAAGATCTGGAAAAACGTGCCCTACACCCATTTTCTAACACATGCCCGGGAAGAAAAGAGAGAAAAGAACACGTTGTTGCTTACTCTAGAAAACTAGGATAGCAGGAAATTCTTTCTCATGGAGAATTTTGCCATTGCTTCCCGCCGTGGGTATTCTCCTTGCAATGCTACATCTGCTGATTCCCATAAAAAAATCGTTCATAAGTTCCGGAATTTGCTCATGCGTGTAGCAGCAGGGCGCCATCGACGGTCAAAATCTTCCAAACACTGGGCGGCCTACGATCGATGCATGCCAATAGTTGGAAAAGGTTGCAAATATTTCCCAGAAAAGACTTCGACACCTTGGTGATTTAAATCCATGGGTATATCGGTCATTGTATTGAGGTCGTACTGTTCTTGAGGCTCCATAGCGCTGGCATTTTAGGACTGCTGTGAACACAGCACTTCTACTACAACAAATACTAGTACTAACTTGAAACAATGAAGCTAATGTAAATATCCATTCCGGTTGGATTTATTTTTGACCCGGTGAATATTATCTCCTAGGTGGAATAGTTAAGCTGTAGATGTTTGCATCATTTCTATGTGTAATATGATGTTTTCTGGAGCGAAAACGAGTGATTCTTTAGGCAAATTACATTCTACTAACAGCTGTGAACATTTTTGCATAAACAGTGATACTATTCCAGCAAGTGACTTGTTCCCATAAAATTTAGATAATCGATGAACACGTGGTTGATGAAATCGGAGTAGTTTTATGAGAAAACATGTCGGTAGATGTTTTTACGGCAGNCTCGTCGAAATCGAGTCGTTGCTGATCTCGACAGACCACAGCAACATCTAGCAGCTGACCCCCTTCAACTTAAATGAGCTGCGTAGCCATATTTTGATATTGTTCGTTTAAAAGTTTTAGAAGGAATTATACCTAGAAAGATGTCATAAATTTTTGCATGCTAGGAAGAGCTTTCCGTTTCTACATTGAGAAGAGAATGTCGGCAGATTATATTGGGCCCGAAAGCCCGGCTAGTCCTGAGTGAAGTCCATGGTGCTGTGGTCCTTCCTGTCATTGCATCTACGAATGCTCGTCCTGTAGAGGTAGGTCTGCCCACAAGAACGAATGCGTAGCTCTGAATTTTATACAGTTTCCATTTAGGGTTTTATTCAACGGAGAAGGGTAATTCGTTTGGCAGGCATCAAGGGAGCGCTACAGCACTTTTGCGATAAAGCGAATGTTATCAAGACCGGGCGCAGCGTATTCGTAAGCAATTTGACGCAGATTACGTTGAAATCACGTTGTTATATTATTAGAAAAAAAGAGAGATATATACAGCTTAATTACATGGTTGAAACATTATTTTACATTTTCTCGAATTGCCTGGCCGAGGAATTTCAACTAAATCCTCCGATATAGGTAGGTACCTTGTGATGCTCTTCCTAGATTATGGTCTAGCGTTTTGCTGCCTGTTCCGAATAATCATAAATAAAAAGTAGACCCAACATTTTAAAATTGATGTGCTTTATTTGATACTTACATTAGCGCATTCGTATGATCTACAGTTTCAAGAGAGATTTCATCAGATCTGACTATCGAACTCAATTCAGTCTCGCTCTAGCTTGTGCCATGAAGCAGATATTGTCCTTAGTGGCTTTATCGTGCATTGCGTATTCCAGTTGATACGGTGAATCGTCTTTCAACATATTTATAATGGCTTCGTACTTGGTGAAGTCAACCATTACGTCCAGTTCCTGTCGGCCAAGTTGGACCGGACATGGAACACCATGAGTGCATGCATCCAAGTTACTCCTGAAAAATGCATTTCCTCCATTTTCTCTGGTTCACATAAGATAGGAAAGAGGATGCAATATGGTTTATACTATGATTACAGATAGACAGAGCAAACAACTCAACAGAGTACCGAACATTGCTAGGATCGGATGTTTCTGAAATTCGCAGTACCTATGGGAAAGAGTGAGATGGGTAGGACTCATCTGGTAATGCTGTGACAGTTTAGGAATTTCGTCTCTTCCCAACTCCACAACTGCAGTTGTCAAATGGTTTTCCTGACAATATCTGATGAGTACCCACATGATTGTTATTTCTTTTCTGCTGACTATTTCTTTTTTTGCAGGGGAAATGAGAATTTGAACGGAGAGACACCGTGGAGAGGATCGTTAGAGTTTGAATATAAACCCCTTTATGGAAGCGCAAGTCCAGGGATGCTTACAAAATGGAGTTGTTGCGTTGTATAAAAACAAATTTAAGAAGTATGAAACCATTGGAGGATGACTACAGAGCTTTCTGTGTTTGATGGGCAGCCATGATTTGGGCGCTTCAGACTTAACTCACTCTCAAGTTTGTCAATGCTAAAACCGCTCTTGTTCGAGAATTTGAAGTCGAGAACAAAAATAAAAATAAAAAACTGATCAGCAGTGACCACGAATTGTTGATTTTTTTTATTATTTCCAAAAAAAAACTTCAACTCACAACAGTCCCAGTGTTGGCAATGAAGTCCATGCACAGGTGCCGAGCGATGTTCCCCACGACCAGAGATTGATGGTGAGCATGAGATTTGGCGAAGAGTACACGTGTGTGGGATTTAAAATGTCGCATTTCATCATGATAGGTTTTCCGAGATGGATTGGATATTCGAAGTTTTTGCCTTGAAATAAAGCTTACTGTGGATACTATCCTCACTGCGGCCATACAGATTTAGTTGAAAATAAGTTGAATTTTTTTCAAGAAACTAGTTCATAAGTGGCTGCTGTTTGCCATCTTTGCGAGCATCAGCTGTGACGTTCAGGTCTTTGTCTTTCCCACCTGTCTCATCGTATGGAGTAGCATTGTAGAACATTACCGGTCCATTGTTGCACTGGTACCAGTGGAAGGTGGTATCAGTTCCATTGGGCCACGTCTTACAGGCGAAAGTAGAACCAATTAGGACAAATACCAATGCGAGTACCTGCATTTCGCTCTAAAAGATGGTTTTCATTTTAACTGCTACCGACATATGTTGTCATAGTCAAAAAGAAGCCATTGTAGAAGGTCACAAAAGATATCAAGTAAACACATTCTAGCTCAGCCCCTCCTATAAGTAACAAAGCAACTGCCTCTGAAGAACACTGTGAACTGTTCTATGTGTGAGGTAAGAATGGAATAGGCGAATTATTGTTGGGAGATCGAATTACCAGTGGTAACGGTAACTTGTATGCGGAGCACAAGACGCTGTAAAGAAAAGAAGCGTGTGAGCTGCCAGTTTATTTTATGAGGAAATGTAGGCCAGAGACCGTTCCGGCACACCCAAGAGACGGAATTTACGGCATCGCTTATCGCCGATTCATGTGCGTAATGGAATACCTCCAGGGTACCGTGATCATTGCTCTAAGAACTGGTGAATTAACTGGTTCCCGATACAGTGATAGAAGGTGGACCCGGAACAGGAAATTTCAGCGTCGTAGCAAACTCTGCACGCAACGGATATGCACCATATAGAAATATAATGAGAGGGAGTTCAAAAGTTAGGAGTGATAACAAAGCGTGAAAGCGAATGTAAGGTAGTGCCAAGTTGCGCCTCTACTAGAGGTATTGCACGGGATAGGGTGCCGTCTCATACTTCCATAGGCTGATCAAGCCTTCCGAAGTTGATTATTTGCAGTGAACTTGCAAAGCAATTCACATTCACAAACCATGAGCTACATTTTATCTTGGATCTTTGTGCAGAGCCAAATGCGTTTTAGAGCTACATTACCCTTCTGATCAAAATTTGAAGGCATGTGAGTATCCTAAACGGAGGTGATCAACGCCGGTTACTGTCCTTTCCATCCAAAATTGAATCGAGTCTGCTAAGCTGGAATTTGGATTGTACATGGACTAACAGCTTCCCTATTTAGCACAAACTTTGATACAATTCCATAACGAAAAATTAGTCACTGATAATTACAGCATTTTCCCAGCTTTTGACTGACTAGCCGATTCAGTTCAAATGTGGGGTACAAATGCGATTGGCAGGCCCACGATCGAAAGGGTTAGGCGGATTTCGAAGAAACCTAAGCCGTGAATTGCTCTCTTGTCTACATCGCTGTGTGTAGTCATTGACAATGAAGTTCTTGTCATATCGGTCATATTTTTTTCTCAAATTGCAACGCTTCACTCGATGGCACCAAGCTATACAAAGATCCTTTCCGACCAACAAAGCAGCGAATTTTGCGTGATGAAAAAATTGTTTGACCCTGACTTCTGTGCTTTCTGTAGCCAATACTACAGTTAGCCTACGACACCATTTTCACTTCCTGTTCATGTGAAGAGACCGATTATGCCCCGTGTTTTCTCAAACCTTTCACATCTTGATCAAGATGGTTGACAGTCTTCCTTCTTACGATTAGCTATAGCCCTGAAACGTTCTTCGCCGGCTACCAGACATGCGGTATGCTTCCTCACTCGATTCTCCGTTTTTGAACTTGACAAACAATAAATGTAAAGTTTATTGCTGGATCAATTCACATTCGAATGCCGTATCATGGCTTGTCTGAATTTTTCATTTGTTGTACTTCACAAATTCCGCCGAGTGTAAGGATGCTAATCTCCTATGGTTCACGTAGTCGTACGAAATCCGTGTCGTTATCTTGTGGGCCCACTCGTTTTCGTCCACTTCACGGAACTTCTCGGTTTATTTTGGGATCCAAGACAAACCACTAACGAAGCCTTGAATGATATTTAATTCACGCCTAAAATCTTCATGTACACAGTACACATTTTTGGGCGAGTTCAAAACTTTTCTGTTCACTTTGAAGTCTAGGAGTGGTGTCGTGCCTTTCAGCAGAAAGGACGCTTGACGGAGTGCTGTTCCCGCCAAGAAAGTACCGCAAGCCAACAGCTCGGTGTTTAGCGAGAGCATGCCACGTGGCAGTGGACTACCGTAACTCTCGAGCCACTTTCAATCGTTATTCGTCGTTGTCACCATCCAATTCGGGTAACGGAACTTCTCCCCTATCGCGGCATTCTCCGTTGCGGCATGCGGCAAATGTCACTGCAATTACTGTACTCANTCTGTTTCTTTTTAGTTTTCATGTTTATTAGACTTGATTAATTAAAATGACTCCTCCTATATAAACGACGATCAAGACCGCATTGGAATTGAAAAGAGCGGCCAGCCAATTCAAATAATTAAAGGACTCCCTGCCTCACAAATTGCGCGCTCCAATCTCCCATCGCAATTCTGCAATAGGCGGCGGGTGCGGTGTGTGCGACGCCGTGTTAGGGGAGAAGTTCCCGGACCCATCCAATTCGACATGTGCCGTCATGATCCTTGCTGCTGCTTCAACTTATTGCGTCACACTTTTTTGCCTCCCTTCCACTGTTCCACGCTCGTCTCCACAATAGCTGGATGACTGCATTCAAGAATTGCATAGGGTGAATCGAACCTTTCACGCGGATTGGAACATGGATGTCCCAAGTGGGGATCCAAGGCTCCAGGGTGTTGTAGCCTTGCATCTCACAAGCTGCAACATCCTGCGGCACATGGTCGTTTAGGATCGGTCTTAGAAGAAGCTAGGAATGTGCCTAGTCAGAATGTGTATGTTTCAGCCGTAGCACTACCGCAGTTATTGTTTTAATTTATTTCGATTTTTATCGATATCGATCCAATCGATTGTTTCCTTTAATTTCTCCACAGAAGGTGTACACAAATGCAGTCACACTTATATTCCTTCATTTGTTTAATTTATTATTCACTGTTTATTTATATTTATTTCTATTCCTATGGGATTCCATTCCGCTGATCAAGGACACGATGTATCGGACAGGTAAGGATAGTGGCTCCCGTGCCAAGACGAATACAGGGGACGAATACAGGATATTCTATTCTAATTAACTATTCTCTGCCGTCGTCGGATGGATGAGGTAAGTATTTCATGTATTTGAAATGGAATGGAAGTTTTTTGCATTAGGTTTCGGTAAACTTGTGATAATTAAGATTAAATTTTTTATTCGCGTATTGTTAGTTTTTTTTGTTATGAAGTGATCACGATAGCATTCTTGGACTTTTCTCATAAGTATTGAAGATTGTGAGATTTTGTGTAGAATATTGCACGCAAATATTTTTTATTTCNAAAACCCCATGAATGTCAATGTATAATAAATGCTATATTAATGATACCCCTTTTAAATTGCATGTTCTTCAAGCTGACTCGCCCAAACACTCCCCTTAACCGCCGTTTTTCCAGTGTAACTCGTCCAGCCCCTTTTTACTTATTTTTTGAACCTCTGTATTTCTTTTATTCACGTTTTCCGCTTCTTCTGCCTTGCCATTGTACTACTGTTGGCCGTACTTATCATTTCCCGTCAAAAACCGAATACCCCAAAATTATCGTGAACTGTGCCCTTACGTGTCTCACGGATTGCTTTGATCGTCGCATCCATAATTACCCCACGATAGGCATAAACACGAACTTTTGTCATTGCATATTGCACACGACCGTTAGTTCTGTTAAATGAGTGGTAATGTGTTACGGTATGTCGCATTCGGGTGGCCTATCGTATGACCGCCCGGGGTAGATCCACGCCGACCACCAATAGTGTGGTCTGTCTGGACTCTCCGTGACCTCCCCGGACAATCGTACCTTCGGCGGGAACACCCTGTATAAAAGGCAGCCAAGTAGTAAGGTGGGAGAGTCTCCTTCTTCTGCCTGCGCCTTCATCCCCCCGTCGTCGCCCGAGTGAATCGTCTGTCACGTGAGCAGTGACGACTGACCTTCATTCCCCCCTACCTGGATCTAACCTCCACTCGCTCTGGTGTGGAATTCGTATTCTTCTTCTACTATTGCTAATAAAGATTCCTCATATCCTACTGTCCTTCCAAGCAAAAACCAGGACCAACCACCCCTTCAGTTGTCAGGCCTTAAGTGAGGTCTGACATCCGCCGGATCCCGAGGAAGACCCCGTTGATTTCCGGGGTGAACCCAGGGGCGGGTCCGCTACTAATCGGCTGAAGCTTCATGTCGAAAGCAAGAGAGAAGACTCGATGCAATGCTTTCTGGTGTCCAATTGATTTTACATCATGATATCGTGGTCAACCAATTTCCGCTCAGCCTTCCCAACCCTGTCAGGAGTGCTCTGAAACACGTTAGCCAATTCTTCATGAGCAGGCGATCATTTGGCTCCATATTCCACAATGCTTTCAGCCATGAAAATGAGTGGAGGTGCTATGTGGATATCAATGCTGTGTGCATTCATGAAATCCGGTGCGTTTCCCACTTGATCAATTTAGTCATTGAACCAGATGTGCGGTTTCTTCCTACTTGGGAGTCAAAAACTCTAAAGGGAATTCAGCTTCTTCATAATCTTCTTTGGCACTGAGAAGCATCCTTGTTCTCCTTAATTGGAGATCGACGAGGTAGTCCTCGGTGCCAAGTGGAAGTGGACAAAGACACGAATTCACGGAGCTGCCTAATATTCAGGCGTGAGTAGAGGGATTTATTAGTAGATGAGTAACGGTATGGGAGAAGAGTAGGACGTTGTGCCTTGGTCTGCTCCCGATCGCAGAAAATCCGCATTGATTCTTTTGAATGAGTACGGCCTGCTTATGGCGATTTCCCGTCAAAGCGCGAGTGCGTGTGGAAGTCACGTGAGTTCGGACTATGGTTTGATTGATTGATTTCATTTAAAATTGATTGGTGTTGACGATGTGAATGTATATATGTACGAGGATATTATGACAGACAAAAGTATGATGTAATAATACATGGTACTCTGAGTTACGCACTGCTAACTACTCCTTAACACATATGAGTTCTTCTCAGTGACTGCTGAGGGAACATTCCTTCCTTCATCAGCTCAATCTCTTCTGAGTGAAGAAATCATTCACAAGACTCAGAACATTTTGATCAAGTCTATTGGTGTCAAGATCGATTGATAGCCCGCAAGAAGCCAATGTGTGGCGTCCGAGAGCTGAACGGTGTTGGTTTCAACTTCATCGAGTGATCCTGTTGAGTACTTTCTAATCCAGACTCCCAATATTGACGAGACAATTTCTCACTCTGCAGGGAAGACTATTCCTTTCAAGAAAATTCATGATTTCATCATGAGGGAGACCCTTTTTAGCAGGTGATGAGAACTGGACTCTCTGTAACCTTCTGAGCCGACAGTGTAACATCAACCAACTTGAATATCAGCACGCTGTTATGCCAAATAGTCACCAACAGCAAGCGCAGCTACTTCTTTTGGTATATCACTTGCCATGACGACTCCAACCGCAAAATGCGGAACCACTGTACTAAGATAGGTAATCAACAGCACTTTGTGCGGCCTGCAGCAAATGATGATGATAGTGATGGGCCGCGATATCGGGATTTCAAACCGTGGGTTTGGAATTCTGAAGAGATTACGTAACACTGCGCGTCGAAGGTAGACTACTTGCACGTCGACTAAGATCATGGTGCTCCCCTTGCACGCAGAACTAGACTGTCAGAGGGAGGGACAGCAGGGCATGTAGAGCGCAAAGATGGTGAGATAATCACCTATGTCGAAAAGCTGGAAAATCGCCTGATTGACATTCGAATGTGGGTCTGTATACTAAGCGTGATTGATCGACGCCAAAAGACTTCATCATACAGACATTTGGAAATTAAGGCATTCCGCAAAGAATTCATCATACGAACTTTTGAAAGATGAGATGAGACTTTCCGCGGGAACAATCAACGGCGTCTTTTGCGTCTAACACTGCTCACGTGCCTAACAGATTCGGAAACTTGAATGTCTGGTGTCGTGCATGTCTCATGACTATTGTTCTTTTGTTGGCTCCGATCATCAAGACGGAGTGGTCGACGAAAACGGCCCCGCCCTAGCATGCAGTCTTGTTATCCTATTTATATAACCAGCCAATTGTGTCTATTGGGGTGTTTGTGTGTGCATGTATATGTGTTTGTCGGACCGGTAGCTCCTGTTCCACTGGACCTCAAGCCCTTAAATTTAAAAAGGATACAAGCTGCAGTATGGTGACACTGCTTGGTAGCACCAGCACACGCTCATAGGGGGCAGGGCTTGCGCGACTTAAGTGTTTGAAAGGAAGTTCAGCACTCGTGCTACCGTGAACCTATAGCGTTCAAATCAAATGGGGTACAGACAACATGGGAACTGATGAGAATTGGTAGGATTAACTCCGCTCATGGGAGAGGAGGATGCATAGAATGAGCGTAATCCCATTGATTTGTGCGGTCAAGTTAAAAAAAAACAGTAGGATGAACCACTTTGCTCAAGCACTTACTTATGGCGGGCCAGGTGCTCACTAAGTGGGTTAGAAGTGTAGGCTTGTTTGGCCGGTAATTTATACTCCCTCCCCTACCGTACCAGGGCGTGAGAAATCGGAAAAGACGTGGGCGACAAGCCATTCTTACGGAAAAAAGTAGCACCCGTCTAACGCTGGGCGTCGACTATACGACTGGTGTAGTATAGTCGCCGTTATCGGACGGGCATCCTTCCTATGAGCGTTACTGTGCTCACTCCCTAATCTCGCTTACTCCAGCTCATATCGCCTAAAATGAATCTCCGAAACCACTGTTTCATCAAATCGAGGGTATGCAAACTTCCGTGCTTGGGGGCTAATTCGCACCACACCTGTTTATAGTGATTTTTCAGGCGGCTGGAGAATGATAAGGTTGAAACCTAGAACTTAAACCTGCTTTTTTTTGAATGTTGCTTCCGCAGCGGTGAGAACACATTTGTTGCTATGTGAACAATGCGCTGGTGAGTGTTCATGCTTGTTCATTACCTAAATGACGAATGTTTTCCTTTGAACTCAGCCAAGGTCAAGAATTTCCGCATGGAAAGTTATCTTCGATTCTCCTATCACTGTCTCGAGAGATTGGCGCATATGTTTTTATTTATTTGAGATCGGTTCTCAATTGATCCACTCATACAGGCTTAAAGATCAGAAATGACTACAAATAAAATTCACATATCTTTCTGCGAAACCTGAATAATCATAAAATCTATGAGCAAATATTCTCAACATGAAAGTAACAAACAAAAACAAATGCAGAAAGAAAGGACAACATGGAATTATAAGGCAATCGTAAGCGTGCCAAACCAAACTACGATTCAATTAAGAAACTCGTTCCAATTTTGCGTTTAATGAGCACTGTACAATCACAAGAGACAACAGTAACTTAGAACTTACAACAACAAAAAAAAAACATAAATAGCGACAGAAATGACTAATCTTCCTTACCAATTCGAGATATTAAAGGACCACGATTTTCGCCTAAACGGTGTCCTCCATTTGTTTTGGAAAATACAGCTCTCTCGAGCGACCTCTCTTCTAGGGGAATGCCAAGCCTGAAATAATCGAGACTTTCATGAGCAGTATTCAAGAGGACCGAATATTTGCAAGATGAAAACCAATTTGGAACAGTGAGCTGTAATCTACTTTTGGAATCTGTTGCGTGATAACTTGTCAGAAGTTATGCGAAGAATTTATCGTAACCGAGTTCTGTTCTCGCGTTTCTGGGGCAAAAAAAAAAAAAGATTTGGACGGCTGGCGATAAGGACGCTGATTACGAACCGCATGTAGTCACACGCTGAGTTTGAACCGTTGATAAGCCTTTTGCTTTTCATGAAACCTCAAATAGAAGTATGAGAAATATCTCCTTGCAAACTAATCACCTCCTTCTAACGGGGGAGTTAATGACGAAGATGACTTTCTTTATGAAGAGCCGACGATACCCATTTTTCACACAGAAGAGTGAACAGCCGAGATGTGACTGATTTACAAAGTCAGGTGCTCATCCATTCCGAAGTCACAAAAACAGCTAGCATTCTTACAGCAAGCACAGAGAGAGAGGGCGGGGAGGGGGAAGGGAACGTCTGGAATCTCGTGCTAATTTAGACGAAAAGCAACGCAGCACTAGTCAAAATTGACTCAAAACTTGAAATGGATTTGATTACATTAAGGGTTACCACATGACCATGCCAAATATTCCTCACCTTAGGTTGCACCCGTCCTCGTCTTCTGAGTGACCAAATTTCGTCACAATACTTCTTGTAAAAGCAGCCCAATAATGTGCCTTCATTGTATCAAGAGAAGAAGCCATTCAGTACCATAATCTCCACTCCTTATGTAAAGTTGTGATGAACAGAAGAGGCCCACAAAGATTATTAACCCGTGCCCACCACATGAAAACAACATGCTTGTCGCTTTATTCTATCAGCTTTTCCGAGCCTTTTTCAATCCGACAGGTTCGATTTTTGGCATTCCTCCGTTCAAATAATTGCCCCACTACGCAAGCGAACAACGTAAATGATCCAGAATGACTTGTCAACTACTTCAACGCTACCTTGTCAATGCGATATCCGCCAAAGTTGGAATAATCGGTTGGAGCAATATAGATGAAACGCGGATGGTCTCATAGGTGATGTAAAGCACACAATCCAACTGAAAGAAGAAGAAGTAATGAAAAATGAATATTTTGAAACTGAATTACTACTGACCTGGGGACCTGGCCTAAGTTTCCACGGCTCAGTCAATTGGAAGAACCCATTGCCAGCTTTTAACACACTCATAACTTCCATAATACCTTTGTAGAATAGCATATCATCGTAAAGTTCCGTAGTCACCTCTAAAAGGTTGAGATTATTGAAAACTAATCGAAGAAAAATCTGAGTGTATGAAAAAAAGTGAATACCTGCTATATTCTTTAGGTCATTCAGGAAATGAACGGCGGCTTCTTCAATCTTCGGTTCTAATTGATCTTCGGCAATATTAGGATACACTTGAGCATTGTTAAGCTTCTTCACCGTAGCTCTACTCAAGAGGTTACCCAAATTGTTAACCAAATCGCCATTGACAACATTGATAGCCTTTTCCTTGTTGAAGTCTGAAATAATGCCTTTCGCGGAAGCAAGCCACTCGAGTACGCAACAAAGACCATACTGGAATCTCCATGAGGAAGTCCTTGTTTGAGTAAAAAATAACGCAAGCCATCTGCTGTGTACAGTTCCTTTGCTTCAAAGGGATCAACAACATTTCCGAGGCTTTTTGACATCTAAAATGGAGCTTTCATGGAAAATAAGTATCCGAGCGATTCGAAAAATCTACGTAGTTACACACTGGTGTAGGTTCCATACAAATAAGAGGCAGACTAACCTTCACATTATCAACTAGCCAGTGCCCGTGCACGAATAATTTCTCTGGCAACGGAAGATCCATTGCCATAAGAAACGCTGGCCAGAAGAACGCATGGAACCTCAAACAGTAAATTCCTTCAAGGTCAAAGGAGTAACACGTTTGCGACATTGGCTGCAATTAAACTCACTTCAATATGTCTTTGCCAAGAACTTGCCAGGAAGGTGGCCACACTTTCATCTTCTCGGGGTAGCCAACGACAGACAGATAGTTCATCAAGGCATCCATCCAAACGTATATCTAACAATTTCAATCAAATTCAGATTTCAAGTTGCTCTTGCTATTGCTTAACCTCAAAGAACTTCTTGAGCTTGAACAAAACTCCACTCACAGTCTGCATATTGTCGCCAGGAACTTGAATACCCCAAGGAAGCCTAGACCGATCACGAGATATTGAGAGATCGCCTTCGTATTCCAGGTATTGCAGAGCATTTGGTAGATAATGCTTTGGATGAATCACATCTAAAGGTGCCAGAACACTTGAACATTCTCAATGTCAGAAAAGTCTCTAGTACTCTTACTCATCTAACAATTTTAGCAGATACCCAATTCTAGCAACAGTAGGTGGTAGCCTCTGATTCTCACCTTTTCTACAATCACAGTACGCACTTGTCAATTGCTACTGTTTAGACCCCATGATTCTCTGCCTAATCAATAGTTGTCAGATAACTGACCTGAACTTAACAACCACCGCCTCACTTCGTCTCTGAACTGGGATAACCGAAACATATAGTTGCATTCCTCGACCCACTCAACGGAATGGCTTGTACCTTTCACCACCTGAACAGATAAATGATGAAAGGTGCCACGTCATGAATGCTAGGAATTAAGTGTTGCGCGACAAGTTTATATATCGGGTATTGACCAGGGATGTTAGGCTTTCCTTAGTAGTTCTTACTTTTATAGAAAACCCCAAGATAACTTCCACAATTTCTTAGTATTCGCAAATCCTTCCGAAACGAGAAATGGATTCAGAAGAAAGGAAGTCCATTGCCTTGTGTGAAAGAGCCGGGTTGCTTCCAACTTATTATAGTTGCTCGAATCTCAACTAACGGTTAGGGGTGATAGTTAGGTCATAACCTCTGTTGCAGGTATATCTGGTCTGAAGCCTATTAGAAGAAGATAGCTTTCCGATAGCTCTACGCTAACCTCTCGCAAACCCTTTTTACAAAAAAAGGTCAAACCTTTCCTGATGGAGAATCTTCGACTTCATCATTCGGGAAAAAGCACTCGTCCACAGCACTATACCAATTCGAATAGGTATCCTGGTAGATGAAATTCCCATCACAGAGTTTCTTCTGAATTCAGAAAGGAGTGTAAATAATTCACGCACTGTAATGGCGAGGAACTCACCCATGCATACTCTACACACTGCTTGTGGCGATCTTCTGTAGTCCGTATGAAATCTGTGGTGTGAATGCCGAATTTACCGAAAAGATTGCGGAAACTCTCGGAACTCGCATCACAAAATTTCAGAGGATCTGTATTTGCTTTTTGGGCAGCACGAAAAATCTGCAATGGCGAACTTTGAGCAAGTCATTTGCAACTCTTTTGAACACATTAACGTAATGACAAATAAAAATCTGATGAATTAAGCGAGATAAGCCTTACCTTGATTCCATGTTCATCCGTGCCAGAGGTGAAGACATGGACATCATCAGGATTTTTCAACTTCTGCCAACGATGAGCTGCATCAGACAAAACAGCGGTATATAGATGACCGAGATGGGGTGCTAAAAAGGACGTGTTGAGTGAATCGAACTAGTCCAGCACAGCAAAGCTCTGCAAAGAAACTAGGCTTACCAGCATTAGCATAAAAAATCGGAGTTGTTATATAGGAGTGCCTCCTTACGGGTAGTAGAATCAACGACCGCAGCGTCCTCATCCAGCTATCATTATATCGTAAAACATGGTCGTAGTATTATAAAAAGTAGTAGGAACCACAAAAAGTGAACATATTAAGGTGAACCAAGATCCTTCACATCAGTTTATTAGCTAGACACAGCAATAAACACTGTTCATAACTGCAATCAATGAGGATTTATAGGAGCGAATGTGCACAATATCCATTACCAATGTAGAACACTACACAAAAATGAAAACAGTTGCGCATCGACGCTGCACAGACTGGAAAGGGATGTAAGGAAAAAACAAAAGATTTCTGTTATGCAATCACAACATGACCAAGGCAGGGAACGAAAAAAGACGCTATGAAAGACCTAATTTCATTATAAAGTGTTGGACATACAGAAATTAAATCCATTCGAGAAGATTCATTACTGAAGAGCCAATAAACGAAGCTTCACACCTTAAGTGCCAAATTTAAGAGTCAAAAAACCAAGAATTTCCACCCATATTTTTCCGATCTATTTACTCTATTCTGAAAGTGATATATTGCTTTCGAAACCCGAAAAGCGAAACACTGTTCATGCATATATTCAGCGTAGTATACACGTAGCAAAAGAAAGGACACCAATAATGACAATTTACTCGATTGAGCTATACAATCGAACTACTTCAAAGCACTCACAAAATTGGCGAATTACAGACAAAACTTCCGCCTCGGATAGGACTCGAGCCAGTACTTGTTCTATCCAGACACGTTGCTCCATATCCTTTACAATACCGAGACCTCGCTTGTTCTCGCCTTTTCAGGGATTTTTATGCCATAGATTATCAGCATTCGCACGTACAACGTGGTAAGACACTTTCAAAGCAGTGCCTTCAGCATCATGGCGGAACCGCTTCCATAACACCTGCAAACATGAGAAACTATTATTCCAGGGAAGCAGGTATGACTAAAGTCCTGACAAAAATGCTGTTTGCATGCGCACAGTCCAGGACGACCCTTCGTCTTAAATACCCTCAAAGATAATGTTTTGGCACAAATTGGAACAAGGCGCTTCCAGGAAATTCATAAACCGCATGCATGTAAGGGAATTCCAATAAAGCAATTCGAAAGAAGCAAACACTACAAAACCACCTCATTCAGTGAAGCATATGCGCTTCAGAAAGGCATTTTCTACAAAATTCTCTTGAAAATCTTAGATGAAGATGAGATTATTACAAACAACTCATCGGTTTTTGCTGCCAAGATAGAGATATCTCTTTTCAAAAGCAAAGCTATCATAACAAAGGAATCAGAAATGGAATGAGCGACAGAAAATACTCCCTTACTAGCTCAGAACTAAACAGGTAAACACATGCAACCCAAATAACAAATGTTTACATTGTGGAAGGCTGAAGATAAAAGTTAGCCGCCTCATAGCTAGCGGTCCTCGCAAGCGCACCGAACGCGCGCTGATAAACGGCGATACCTGCATCCGTGGGGCACTGGCCGTAATGCGCGTAATGGAAAACAATCTCTATTGTTCTGGAAGGGTCCTATCGCCCTAAGACTGATTGTCTTCTTTCTACGAAACTTCTGGTCCCCACGTCGTCCTCACGAGACGTTCCAGCTTCATTTTTGCTAGCATGCGACTCGATTATTCCAGTTATTGCTCTTTCTTCAATACGGTCACTACGATTGTGTCCTATCCCCGCCAGCCGATGGCTATCTGGACGAGGCCACCTGACGATCAAGGTGGGGACATACATCGAGCACCTAAAAAACGTGCTAGCTGGCAACAACTGGGCTCTGCTGCTGTTTCATCACGATCGTCCAGCGCCCATCGCATCAGCGAAAGCAGATATTTCCCGCTGTTCCCGTAGTTAAAGCAGTTTAATATAATAATAATATACTTATATACACTACTGTTCTGTTACCTCTAACATGAGCTCACGTCCCGCTGCACTATCAGTTATAGGCCTCGCGAACATAATATGATGTGGAGGTTCCGGGAAGCTTTTTTCGGGGATTATTTTTTTTCTCAAGGTAAAGTGAAAATTCTTAGTATAAATTCTTTCCTTCCCTTAGCGGTACCGAAACTTAACTTTTTTCTCGTGTGTACACCCCTACACCCTCCCCTACCCTCCTACCAACCCTACACCCTTCCCTATTTATTCACACACGAGTGTTCGACTGTAATGCTTTATTTCGGCAGCGGATCAACATCGAACAACATGCAAGGATAGCGTATTCTGCGAAGACAGATAAGTCGACTAATTTTGAAGTGAATACTTATGAAGAGGACGTCCTCCGAACTGGCTCTCGATACGTCACAATTCTCTTCATTATTATGGATAGCGGTACAGTCAGACGTTCCGCTTTCAAATCTATGAGTTAAACTACTGTGCGCATCTAGAACACGGTTTTTCTTGTTGTGTTTCTTGTTGTGCATCCAGAACACCTTTTGCAATGATTTCATTGGAACTAGACCTACTCCATAGTTTCATCGTCCTAGTCCTGATCTTGGCGACGAGCTCCCTCATAACGGCGCATCCATTCGCCATTTCGATGTCACTTTTAGAGCACGCTGCCACTTTACCATCTCTCAGGAACTGGTGCAGCAATCTCATCAAAGCGAGCATATAGTATAAGAAGTATCCGATCTAATTCCCCATTGTAACAGGATACGATGGACGGCTCGTAGAATTCGAGAACCAATATAGAGAGCAGATCAGAGAAGTTTTTTAAGCGCTTCGTACAATTCGAGATCGATAATCTCGAGACGAGACCTGTGTACGATATCTAACAAATAAGATGGTCGTAACTATCTGCTCAGCAGCTGTCCAAGAAGTCAACGATTCACTACGATCGATCATCGGAGGTTAGACAGAGCTGGAGCATCACGAAGTGGCCTATGCGAAGTAATAGCAACTGCGACCACTAATAATTAGCAGCCTCTCGCCGGTTTTCGTTGCCAAACCATCACCAGAAGTCAAAATACCGTTGTAGACGGGAATCCCATGGCTACAATCAATTCTAATGTTCGTACTCTTCTTACGAATTTTGGGATTGCAACACCTTACTCTAACGGAGACCACACCAGAGAATGTGAAGACAGTGAAATCTTTCTTGGGAGGAGCACCTTACCTTCAACGCTACATATTCATATCATTCAATTTCAATTCATCGCTTCAAGCACTGTTCTACACGTTGCACGCTAGCAGATACTTCCATACTAAACATACGCAGCAAGCACCTGTGCCACTAGATTTGGAAGCATTAGGCGGTATAGAACAATTAGTAATCAGGCACTTTCGCCCTTTTCAGAAGACAGGACATATTTTCAGCGACGAATTATGAAGGTGATCAACAGAAATCTTTCGGTTTACCTCGCCATTTATAGCCTTTTTCTTGGTATGTTTGGATGGCCTTTTTTCTTTTTAGGTTGTATATGGCGAGTTTTACGAGGAGACTATACCGTTTCTACCGAAACGGTATAAACTTTCGGTATAACTCGCCATAAACAGCCTTTTTCGGTAAGTTTCAATAGTCATTCTTTCACTTTCAAACGCCGCGACTATTTTTACGAACTCTTCAGATTGGCGGCTCAAAGAGCCCCTGTGCAACGTTTGCCCCACATATTTTCACATCTTAAAAACAAAAAATATGCGCCCAACCACTTATTCAGGTCATCGTTACCAATCTTGTGCGTTCATCGTTGCATAATAATCATTTCGGCAAGCCAGCCGATGTTAAATGTTTCCTGTTGAACTCACAAAGCTTAATCAACAGGGTCCATCACTTCACTTGTTTCTTATACATTATGAGACCTACTATTCGTTACTGAAACATGGCTTTCTTCGAGAATACTCGATTTCGAAATTCTTTCCGATCACTCGTATGAAGTTTTTAGCAGTGGCCGCAAGCTCCGTAAGGGTGGAGGCGTGTGTTATCTTGCTAAGGATGTCGAAAAAATGGAAAGAAATGCGGTCACTAGCAACAGACCCCGTGGCAACTTACTGAACGGCGAAATTCTGTTTATTATACCGCTCGTCTCTGATGAGGTTAGCACTTACGTAAGGAAGTGCCTGAGGAGGTCGGGTCAGATGTACCTCCCTACAAACCGAAGCATCGGCTGGTTCGCAATCGGCTCTACGATCGCTCATGTACCCCTCTAACTGTGGTCTGCCCAACCGCAAGGGAAGCGGCTGTGCAATCGCGGTGATCTTCAAGATCATATGTTGCAGTTGTGGAGAGATATATATCGGCTAAACATCAAGACCGCTATGCGACGCATCACTTAAAGAGTAAGGTCAGGTCACGCATGCCAACTGCCTTGGGCGCCCACAGGGTGGAAACTCATTAAAGCCGACTGGGTCACGACCGAGGTCTTGGCGCGAGAATCGCAAACACCCGCACGAAAAACCCTCGAGGCGTTCTGGATCCAGCCACTAAGCCAAAAATGAACCGGAGGGAAGAATGTAACACAATCACACGGAAGCTGAGGCCGTATATAAGGTTGGTCTTCCTCCAGTGAGTCTGAATCACATATAGTCCGAAGAGCTTATCGGAACGCTGCTGGTGCCCAAGTGGTCGCGAGGAACGGTAAATGGCACAACCTTCGAGACTCAAAGGTAATCACGCATGCAATTGCGTGATGACCTCTGAGTCTCGAATTTCCGTAGGACAGTTGAGGCGTTTGGGAGTAGTCATAAATTGCTTCGATCTTTCTAGGCTCTGAAGAAGGCGATCTATGCCGACACGTTAGCCGGAATAAAGTCTTCATATCAACCTCGTCCGGATTCAAGCAAACAAAAAAGAAAACTAACGTTTGCACTGTGCCGAGGTTTAGAGATAGCCGTACATGGCGTAGCAGTAGTTTGTGGTGCATCTTGCTCTTAACAAGGCTATTTAGCGCATGATGGAATGGACGAATGACAATGGGATACCTGTCATTCTAACTAAGGCTTCACTTTTCCGAGTTGCCAATGCGTTCGACCTTGATTATAGATATCATTTTAATGATAGCGAACTTTGTACTCTGGAAGTGGCACGTG